TGATGATCATGTTATATAATTATTAATAAAACATAAATTTCTAGGACTGCCCATCTCTAAACAAGTGTTTATGATGTCCCTGGACAATTGTTTTGATTTGTGGCGAGGTGGGGTGGGTGGTTGCAGGTGTGTGTGTGTGGGGGGGGGGGAATTGGCGGGAAATGGGTTCACGTCAATTTAAAAGATTTTCTTTAGAACTTGATGGAACATCTCTAAATATATGTTTATAATATTCCAATGGTGTGAAGTGGGCGCCGGGGCGGGTGCCCTTAGGGATGGGGGGTGAGGGTGGGGGTAACATGTGTTTTTGTGGACAGAAATCATTTGGTGGGGGGTGTGGGTGTGGGTGGGAGTAACATGTGTTTTTGTGGACAGAAATCATTTGGTTCAAAATTGACCATAAAAGTGTTTTCTCGTTAGCTTTTTCGTTCATTACCAATTTCGTCATTAATTATATTAAATTATAATGGTACTTTTCAAGAGATCTAGAAATGTACATAAAAAACACAGTAGATCATAGTAAATGTTTAGATATTAGTTTATTCTTAGTCTTCATCAGAAGATTCAAAATCAAAGTTCATAATATGAGAGGGATAAATATCTTTTTGGTTTCTGATCAACAGCTCGCATATATCCTTTGGATATGCTTCAAATACCAATTCACATTGCAAATCTTCATTCCAGCCATGCAGCAAAAGACCACTACGGCAAGGTGGTAATAAAGAAAGGTCTGTTATTTTTTCACCCAGAAAATCTTTCTTCAAGCGTCATCTACTGATGTAAGTCGCCTTCCGTGAAATTTTGGGATGTCTATTTCGCCCGAGTAATACGCGAAATACAATTTGTTTCAGCGCTTCAATTAATTAGCAATGCGTAAAGGAGTAGGTAAGCTATTTTGGTGTCCTCGTGGTTTGTTGTCAGCTCTAGGATATTCTCGACACTTTCATACTAATCTTGATATATTTTTTGATCCAATCAAGATTAGTATTGAAAGTGTCGAGAATGATTTTTCTGATGACATAATTACTGGTTTAGAAAAAATTATTTGTACCATGTACGGCGAAACTGGAAAAAAGATTTTCTGGGAGAATTTCAATTGTGATGCAAAATAACAAACCTTTCTTTCTTTATAACCATCTTGCCTGTGTAGTCTTTTGCAGCATATCCAAAGGATATATGCGAGCTGTTGATTAGCCATCAAGAAGATATCTACCCCGCTCATATTATGAACTTTGATTTTGAATCTTCTGATGAAGATTAAGAATAAACTAACATTTAAACATGTCTCTGATTTACTGTGTTTTTATGTACATTTCCAGATCTCTTGAAAAGTACCATTATAATTTAATATATTATTTGGAATGACGAAATTGGTACTGAACGAAAAAGCAATCGGATTAAAATATAGATGTATATTTCGTTTCGTGTTTTTATACTTTCGATGGCCTACACTACATGAAGATCTGACCAGTAGTACTGGGGGGGGGGGGTCACCACAGGGTCATACGAGTGGCTTTTGACCCTATGACGCCAAACATTGATTAATCAATCAGCGTTGACGTGTCTAAGGATTTACCCACAGTTCCGTGCAGAGTACGGCGAGTTCGTTTCATTGGCTAATTCCTCACATCAACTAGACCACCTGTTATATAACAACTCTTCCTGATCCAAGTGTTGTGAAGACAAGTAAAACGAAATTTTGAACTATAAAAAACGAAACGAAATAGCATTTGTGTTTTAATCAGATTGAACGAAAAAGCATAGAGAAAACACTTTTCAGGTCAATTTTGAACTGAATGGTTTCTGTCCCTAAAATTACATTTTGCCCCCCCCCCCACCCCATACAATGGGAATCTTGCCCACATAAATAGAGATGTGTAGAGGAATTAAAAAGTAATGTTTTACCAAGCTCTAAGAAAATCATCATTTAAATCTACGTGAACTGATTTCCCGCCAATTTACCCCCTCCACCCCCTCCATACACACACACACACACCTGCTACCCCACCCCACTTCCCCACAAATCAAAACAGTTGTCCAGGGGCATCATATACACTTCTCTAGAGATGGACAGTCCTAGAAATTTGTGTTATATCAATATATAACATGATTATCATTTATATCAACATAATGACATTTTCCCCCAATTGTAGACATTGGACCCACCATATCTCAAAAACGCCCCCTCAAACGTCTGACCACCACCAGATTCGGAATCTACGCAAAAAACTGGTCTAGAACAACTTTGTCTCATAAATTCACAGCTAGGGTGGTTATAGTTATTAGGTGGGTTAGAAATTCAGTTAAAAAGTCTAAATTTTATGTTTCCAATTACACTCGAACAGCCCGTGACATAGGAGCCACCGTGGTTCAGTGAATAAGACGTTGGTTCGCTAATCTGGAGGCCCCGTGTTCGATCCCGGTGTTGACCGTGAAAGTTTATCTGGATTTTCCTGCGTGGTCAGTGGTGCAAGAGAGGGGGCATGACAAGAAACAACGTTGGCTTGCACGTAAAAATAAAATTGACAGTTAGAATTCGATATAAGATTAGGCCATAGCGCCGCGGTTGGGACAAAATTTCCCCCATGGAACATCCCTCATGGAACACTGTATTGCGTATGTCGGTCTTCATTAGCCCAGTCGGGGCATAACAGTAGGGCGTTAAACCCCATTTTATTTCATTTCATTTCAGCCCCAAAAATAAACACAACCCAAGCACCATATCTTAGCAAAATTTGGCTGAAATCTGTCCAATAGTTTTTTAGTTTCGTAGAGGAAGCCTAAAACGTGTGACAGAGTTAGTCCCACCTATTCACATAATTGGTATTTATGCAAATATCTCCCCCCGAAAAAGGAACCAAATTCCCATCTTTGTTGAATGCGATAATGTAAGAGACATAACTCTTGTTTCTGTTTTCTGGATTCAGACCAGTAAATCCGGACCCCCTCCTTATTACCTTCAATGCAAAATGTATTCCGTTTCGTAGCCTCTAACACATGATTTAATATGAATCATAATCTTTACAGTGATAATTTATGTTTACCTGGTAGAAAATGTAAATTCAAACACTCTTTTTCGATTCTAGACCTAAAGGTTAACAAAAATTGCTATGCAAATGGTGGGGGTGAAAAGAAAGAAAGAATTGACATAAATAGGCAGGAACTACATTCATGAATTTCCTGGGACCTGCTACTGGTCATTTTTCTAACAATTTAAGCTATAGTACTGACAATGCCCTTGAATAATGTTTATCTCTCTTTAAAGGAAATTTTGGTAAACTATGGAAGCATGTTGTTGCCTTTTGCTATCTCGTTTTCTCGTTCCATTGTTCCTCGGCATTTTGACCCTGGTCTACTCTACTATAAAATGGTCACAACATGCTTCGATAGCATTATAGGAAACAAACAGTATTTTTGTGGCCTACCAATTGAAGAATTATAGTTTTTAAAAGTAGTATATGAAAATGTGGACATTTGTAAATGATTTACAGATGACCATGATATAGCACATTTTAATTCCGCCCGGATGTAACTGGTTTGTATAAATTAATAAAACTATTGCTACTTTAAATATCAAAAAATATAATGTGGATTGCCCAAATATGGAAGAAAAACATATATCCCCAAACTTCAAAATTAGTTTTTCCCATTTACAGGTACTGTTTATTTAAAAACAAAAGCACATCTGACCATCAGATTTTATAAACCTGGCTTCTACTCAGAATAACTAGTTTAATAACATTTATTTCTGGCTTAATAACAAAATAACAGGTCTGACACTTCTGGTGGAAAGTTTCTACTGTCCGTATAAAATATAAGGGTGATTCTTGACGTCATTAGGCTTAGTAACTAATCATCATAATTAATTACGTAATATTTGTCCAATTAAGTAAATTGACAGGGCTATCTTCCAAGGACACTGTCAATGTTATAAGACCGATTCGGGTCTTATAGACTTTAGACACACTGAAGATTCTAAGATATGACACATGCATTGAGAGAGAGATACCGTTTAAGTTGAAGAGACATCATCTGGATTCAGAATACCCCTTTTAGGTTTTAGGAGAGCCATATGATGTAGCAGCCCGTCAGTAATCTCGTTCTGCGAAATGATGGGGTTGAGAGAGTAGAGAATGACTTTTATTGTAATCTAATCTTGTAACCTATGTATCCAGTGCTTGATATAAAACGTTAAAACAAACTATTGCATTGTTGTTCCTGGTAGATAAACGACTTAACCACTGAGATAGTAAGCAGAAAATACACAAGGGGTCCAAGCCAAAGGAAGAGAATTACACCAGAGACAATACTAGGCGATCACAAGAGGATAATAAAATGTGTAGAGGAGAGAGTATGCGTCACACGTTATATGTGGGGAGTTTTTAGGTCGATTTCACTTTCCATATATAACCAGCGACGCATATTACTTATTTTACTACACTAGCCAGACATTTTGAAGAGTAGGACCTTTAAATCAGGAATCATAACTTCGTGGTAAATATATTGTAGAGTTAGATTCCATCTTATGTCTTATGAAACATAACAGCTGATACTTTGTAGACGTACACAGACGTCCACAAACTTTTCAGATTCACACTATGCCATAACCAAACAATTCCAATATGTTAATAAATAAAATATAAAAAAATGGAGACGCCACATAACCACAGCGTAATATGTACGGATTGATAGAAGCCTTTAAATTATGGATAGTGTGATCTGGTTAATACAAATGCCTAGCAACGGGTCGCGCTCTTGCGAGTCTCTGAATGGATTGAGTGGGTCTGAATCCACATTATATGGATCCACCCATGAGTATCTCAAAGAATTGTCTGCGGGAACTGCTCTTATGTTTTATTTACGAATTCAATTGTTCAATTCTAAACAAAGTGCTCACGTTAATAAACATATCGTTATACTTCAAATGGTCACAAATGCGATCATCAAAGTTTAATTGCATCGAGAAAGTGCCATGTCGGTGTCTATAGTCCTATCCTTGACAACGGATAAACATAACGGTTATACTTTTCTTTGAATTAGTTAAATGGAACTAATGTTATATTCCCTATAGTATTTATATGTACAGTTTTATATAACATATTCTACATTCAAACAATGCAGTTCGCATAATCAATAAAACCTAGGACGTCAAGCAAGTTTGTTTATCGGAGACGCAGGAATTCGTATAGATATGCTTCATCAAGACCTTATCTGAACACTGGTTGATACAGAAGCAACGTGAGTTTCTGAATTATATATTTTCTTCTGGGATAATCAAGAATACATAAGGTACTGCAGGTAATCTCTGATATGTTATTTTATGTGTAGAACGATATTAGTAGCTATATTGAATAGAATATTTGCCTAAGGAACTAGAACCTAGTCTACTCAGTAGTTTTGCAGCAAAACTGTTGTTTGTTTTCTCTTGAATAAAATATTATTGAACGTGTATTTACTGGATTTGAAAAGATGTGGTAGAATATACAATTATAATTGTCAGGAAAATAGTTCTATTGCAAATTGATGCAATTCATATATGATTATGTTTTCTTAGTATAATGAAATATAGAATTATTGAGTGCACCATTTTTAAAAAAAATGTATTCCTTTTGTTCTCAAAATAAAGTAGTCAGTCATCTATTAGGTCAATCACCAATGAGTCACTCTTCCCTCCAAATTTTCGTGACAATTGTTTGTTTTCATCTTTTATTATAGTGTAACATCGGGTTATTCCACTGATTGCTAATCTAATTAGCCTCTAGGGAGTGGCAAGAAATCATTTCATGTCGTTGTCACGGAGATAGTTGTATATATAAAGTAAAAATGGCGACAACAGTAGCAGGAGTTACGACAATTAATTCAACAATAACCACAACTACGTCATCACCACATTCACCATGGGACGATGCTACGTGGATTCTGACCAGCGCCTTTATAATATTTACCATGCAGTCAGGTTCGTATTTATATACAATCTTTTTAAATCATTCCAAGTCCACAGATGACAAAAGATGCCCATTTCTAGTCATATACTTCATATTAAGTCTAACAAGGATGCTAAACTGGGATTCCGTGTGTACTATGTATCCACATTGGTGGATTGGTATACATTGCTCCCATATGTCCGTCAAAATCTTTTCACGACAAGGATTAACTTCACGCGGATGTTGATGTAGCTTACACTCCCTCCCTACCTGTTTTACCTCCACGCTCCACTCCGCCTTTTTATTCATGTATGATATCTGTCCTCTGGAATTTTGCACCAACCGGAGTAGTGAAGAAGGGCCTCCACCTACCTGCATTGTCCTATTCTGTAAATATTGTCAATGTGTGGCTTTCCGCCTATTCTTCATCGAATTCCAACCTCGTTCACTGACAACTAAACCAGGTTGGAAAATCCCGTTAAAAAATTCTCGTCCATCCTCAACGGTATGGAATTTGAGTGCTAACTGATGCTAAAAAGGCTGTTTTGCGCAGGAACTATATTTTGTGTGGGTAGACCGACTTTAAATTGCTAATAGGGTCTAATAGGTTAGGATTAGGGTTAAAACGTTTCTGAAAGAAACGTCAGTGACTTTTAAATTTTTTTATATTAACTCTTTTAAGTGTTGCACGGCTCAGGATTAAGCGACATCGATTTTACTTATATGTTCGTGATGCGGATATGTTCGTCATCATGTTTAGTGTGTTGCTGGAAAGTTATTGTCGCAGCAACGATTCATTTCAGACCGACGTGGATAGAACTTGGTAATTAGATCTTGTTACGTCATATTGTGAAGTTGCTCTGGCATTATACTTGCATGATACATGCGCAATGACCAAGTGCACTCGCAATAATTCAGCAGTAGCCGAAACCCGCATGTTTTATTGACTTATTGCGAGTGCATAGTTTTTAGTTGGGTTATCGTAATTCCCTTGTTTTTATTAATTGTATACTTAATAAAAACGTGGTAATGCACTGACATTTTCCATTTTTCTCGTTGTCTCTTATCTAGTGACAGTTAATTATTTGTTGAATTGTCAGATAGTCTGCCACAGTCTCATATAAAAACTTCAAAGGAATTATTAATGAGCAGAAATCCGTCACTTCAGTCAGTTATATAGAAAGATAACTCGTGTGTTTCTTTTGAGTTCGTCACATCCCTTTCTTGAAATCTTCATAACGCATCTATTGTAGCAATGATCTCTGTATTAAAATTATATTTGGAACGTGTTTAATCAATTCTATCACATATATGATAATGACTGACACCAATATTGTCCTTTAATATCGCGATATCTATCACACTGTTCACTCAGACTGTTGACCCTTTTATGCTTCCATATAAACGCGCCCCTCATTGCGCAAACGTAAACATGGAATCCTTATAACGTAAAACTAACCATGTGTTATATCATGTATAAACGAGTCATTGAGACACTGTCATACTAAATGTTAACTCTGTCACGAATTTCAGACATGGTTAGTTCCAGAACAATAGTGAACTACATTGGGTTACTGTTCTTAATAAAAGAAATGGTGTGATTCATAAAAATGACAATGCATCTAGGTAGCGGCAAATAACCTATTACATGACTTAAAGGTGCTAAATCGCTAATATTTGGAATCTAGAAATTAACAAAAATTACAAATGGGGCCACACCGCATATAATAATGTAATATGAATGTATATAACGCATATAATAATGTAATATGAATGTATATAAACTGATTTACATTCAATTGTTTCCGTTTTTACTCTAATTTCAAATCAGTTATGTTCACCGAAATACGCCAGAAGTCTCAATCGAATGGCAATCTCTAGCATCTGGTTATACCCGCCTACACTAACAATATTTGTTGTTTTTTTAAATAATACACTTTTTATTTACGTCAATAATTACAAGCACATGTTACACGTATACATTTATATCATAAATATAAAATAGATTGTTCTGTATAAACGGTTAATCACAAGGGTTTCTACTATACACAGATCTAAGTACATAAATCCATCAATGGGGAATCGGTATGGAGGAGGTCTTAAAAAGATATTTCCATTTATGCTCTCTAGATAAGACTATGGCATCACCGTTTTACATGACTTGTGAAATATGTCTAACCTTGTTCTTCGAGTCCCTTCTTACAAATTCGTGTACCAATGGTAAAATGTTTATTTTGTCCTGAATATTGGATATCAGAAGCCTATCTTTTCCCGGTAAAATCACAACATCAATGTTGATTTAAATTGACAAATAATTTGTATTTCCAATGTCGAAGACTTTGGATGATATTGAGTTAGAGACTTAGCTACTTAAAGGGTCAATTCCGATAATATTCTGGAGAATAAAACTGCTTCATCCCGTGTTAAAATCCCTTAAAATCCTTTACCTTAGGGCCGAGCAACTAACTCAACATATGAGATACGTTTTTAAACAACTTAAACCCGTCAGTCTCCATCTAGAAATGGAGACAGGTGTCCCAAGCTGTATAATGTGGTGTTTGGGTAAAACCAGACTTTTATTTTATAAAAGTAAAGTGTAGGTGAAATTTACAGCACATGGGTCATTTATTGTATAGACATTAAAAGGATCAGGAATCGATTATCAGGTGACCCAACGAAAAAATTGACCCGAAATCTTAAAAGGCTTACGTGTCCGGATAAGCAGTTTTGACTTTCACGTCCAAACGACTCAATATTTTGAGCTAGAATTTTGAGACAAGGTAAATACACAATTCCTCTATATTTTGGCGTGTAAATTTCATAAGTTCTCCGACTTTTATTTTTGAGACTCTGATCAAATCGGGATAAGTCCCTTTAACACCACAATCATGTTATTGATTTTGCAATAAATGTAAACTCTTTCTACCATGTCGAACTTTTAAATACAAATATTCTGAATTATGTGACATTTATTTAATTAAAGTAACGATTTATAATATTTCTGATTAATTAAAGATAAATTTAAATTAAAATCTTCTCGCAATCAGATGCACTTTTTTGTTATCATTTAAAACAACTAGTTATAATGAAACAATATTCGATTTTCTCGTAACCGTTTATTAAAATAAATAAACATTATGGTTTCATAACGTTGGTGGGTTAGAACCGAGACAATTCTCACGGTGACATATAATTTAGCACTGTGTTAAATATTTTGATTTTGAATATCATTTCGTACATAATTCGACAAATCAGAAACAGGGTTTAACGTCAACTCGAAATAAACTAGGTCATTTCGGGACTAATATATGGTTCAATAATATGGTTCAATAAGTCGATTGTGTGTAGGGGTCTTTAGCAGTGGGATGAAACCTAGGACCTGGAGAAAACTCACGAGGTTTGACAGGCGACCCTACTCCTTGGGGAATTAAAACCAATCCACTTGACTCAATGGCAGACCTTGCGATCTAAACTTATATTAGTCTAAAATGTAATACTATTTGTAATGAACAGGAGCCTTACCTTCTTAGCACGGGCGTACATCACACCTTACTAGGTAACACCATCGCGCCTCCATTCGTCATTAGGCTTTCTCAAATACTGTTAACTTGAAGTATTGTGAAAGTATTACCTGTAATTTTTAAAAACACAAATATTATGTTCACCGATGATATAGCAACTGTGAGGAAACTTGTCTTTTAAACATTATAACTTTATTTTACCAATCACTGTATCTATCAAATTAGACACATAGGATCACCAGTGGTTTCTGATGTTTGTGTGCATACTGCAAATACCAACTTTTACCCGCTATTTTAATATTGATAGTGAGAGGCAACAAATTTTATTCCAATAATTGGGAACATTAACTGCCATATCCGTATTTATATTCGTGAATGTGATTTTATTTCAGGATCTATCCATGGACAGTTCTGTCATTAAATCCACTATAATTGCTATTTTAGGGTTTGGGTTGTTAGAGAGCGGTATGGCGACGAGAAGAAATGAAGTTAACATCATGATGAAGAATGCTATAGATGTTGTATTCGGTGGTATGTTGTATTGGGCAGTTGGATATGGTATTAGTTTTGGTGTTAGTCCAGGATCCAACGCCTTCTCTGGTTGGGGAAGTTTCTTTCTTGATCCAGGTACACACAAATTGGATGCATTTAGAATCATGATATATCTAACTAAATGCATTGGTCTTTAATGCCACCAATATCAGCAAGGTTAATTATATCTTTAAATTTATATGCATTCAAATTTTAATAGAACCACTTTTGTTTTAAAACAAGTGCGGTCGTACTATGGACCATGTTCTTGGATAAAGTTCAAAAATCTAATTCAGCAATCTATGCAGAATTGTTCAAAGAAGAAGCATGCCAATTTTCATGTCGATCGGACATGAACTGACGGAGCCTAAGGCTTTTTTGAAGAGCGTCGTCCCAAGAACAAGTTCGACAACAGCAACAACAAGATGAGTAGTGATTAGACCAATTTTGTTATCACGGGGGTCCATCGTTCATTTACTACTACTTTGACTGTGTCATATTTATTTATATCAAATCTTTTTAGATGATGAACACATGGGAACAGAGTTTTCCAAATTCACATTTCAAGCATCATTTGCGACTACTGCAACCACTATCGTATCCGGTAAGTAGTTTGAGACACGGGTTTTGTCTACGGTAATTCGCGTTTAATTCTGTGATCGAAAACAGAACAACAAATTAAGGTCAGCGGACAATTTTTAAAAGATACTGTGTAGTGTGTAGACCATGCTCTTACTTATCTAAAGCATTGTCGTGATTAATCCAACTACAATAAATGCCTCGTCGGGGGTGGTATACGTGTGAATTAAATAATTCTAAGCATCATCAGTCTTATAAAATTTATTTAATTTGTTTCATTTAAACATACATTATGCAAGAGCTAAATCTGATTATTGCAAGTCTTTATTTAGGCTTTATATGTCATAGAAATTATAAATTAGATCTTTATTTACACAACAAACACAAAATCAACTCTGTAGACCCACGGATGGCTTGAATTCGGCTTGGATTTAATTTTGTCTAATTTTTTACACTACATTATAATCTAACCACCATTCTATTACTATCGTGTCTGACAGTAAGAGTTCAATGGATATCTGACAATAATTGTAGAACAACTCAGCATGCGTTCCAATTATTCGCGACAAAATGCGAACAATTTGATTAGTCAAGACGGCCATTTGACCTGAACATCGATTACAAGAAAATAATGCCGGGTGTTAATATGGAGTGTAACATAAATTAAAAACCCACACGAAATGGAAATGGCGCCTGATTTCATCCAATGTGGATAGTTTCAAGAATACTCTGAGACTACCGTTTGCTATAACGGATTTGGTACATATATTTGCATATGCGTCACCAGACGGTAGATTTCAACGCTACTGTTTACAGTGTGTGTGTGTGTGGGGGGGGGGGGGGTGTCAAGGAATATAACCCTTTTAAATGTATATTATTTTATTTGTAGGTGCGATGGCAGAACGAACAAAGCTGCATGCATACATTGTATTTTGTCTTACCAATACTCTAGTGTATTCATTCCCGGCACATTGGGTATGGGCACCTAATGGCTGGTTAAAACAACTAAATGTAGTTGATGTGGCCGGAGTCGGTCCAGTTCACTTAGTGGGCGGTGTAACGGCATTAATAGCCGCCATTATGTTGAAACCTCGTTATGGTAGATTTGGTGGAAGAATTAAGTTAACGAGTTCGAGTCCCGTCAACAGTCTTCTGGGCCTGTTTATTCTGTGGTGAGTTCAGATCCTAAAGCGGTGGACACACTAGCCGAATGATTCGCCTAGTATGGCCACTGTCATTCGCCCGAATCAAATTCGCCTGGTGTGTCCGCTTCGCCGACGCATTCGGTCGAATATAGAATTCATTAGCCAATTACCACTCATATCGAGAAGTCACGTGATTGATTGAAGACATCGACGCCGCCATGTTTAATCATGTGACGTGAAAGGTGATGCAACCGACAGGTTGAATCGGGCGAAGCCTTCGGCTAGTGTGTCCACCCATTCGGTCGAATAAAATTCGGCGCCGATTGATTCCGGCGAACGATTCGGCTAATGTGTCCACTGCTTTACAGAACGGATATTCTGTTATCATTTTATAACATCCAGTATATTATAATTAGAATACAATAATAAAATACCTTTTAGATAGATATAACGCTTCATAATTTTAACATAATTTGGTTTATGATAAAAGTAATTAGTGAACGAATTGCTATGATGTAAACAGCAGGATACCCAATAATTCTGTAAACAAGAACTGCATACGGTCCTGTATAATTACACACAATCATCTTATCAGGGGCGGATCTAGGAATTTTTGCAGGAGGGGATTTGCCAGGCTCCTGTTAAGGACATTTGACAATTGACAATGCATAATGCCATCATGCTCTCTAAATTACGTAGGCATACATACACATTGAGCTATTTAAAGAGAGGAATCCAACAACCCGTTTGACGTCAATTTTTATTATGAATTAATAGGATCACATTGTGATTCAATTTCATTGATGCAATTGTGATATCACACACTGCGATATCGTTACATCGCGCTTTGAATGTTAATCCCATCCCACCACCTAATTATAAAGGATAAGCACACAACCGTTACACTTTTCTCATAAAGTGTTGTTTTACAATTTTTTATGTAACCGAGCAGGGTGAGGTTTGGACCCCCCTCCCTAGATCCGCCCATGCTTATTGAATTCTCCTTTGGGTATACAAACATATTTTGAGGTATTTGATATAGAATGTAAGGTTCCATCTCCTGTCAAGAAATTCGTATTTTTGAAAAATTTCCCGCTTTTTTTTTATCATTTTATGTAATTACTACATGGTCGTACAGGTGGGGTTGGCTTGGATTCAATTGCGGAAGCACTTTTGGTATCAGTGGAGGCAAGTGGAAGCTAGCTGCAAAGTAAGTTTATACTGTACAATTGTTGGTAAGGAAAAAGAAACATGCATAATGTAAACGCTTTGTCAATAAGGAATGGTGTAACACTAGGTGGTTCGGGCACTGGTAATTTATCTTTGTCGGTGATTAATCGCAAACATGGAATAGGGTTAACGTCCTACTTTTCTGCACCGACCGGTTTAAATAAGATGGGCCTACACCATGCAGTGTACTATGACGACAATTCTGTCTGGATAGTGGTGTTTCCGCGTCTACACATCGGCGAATTCCAACTACCATGGGTTCTTGTATGTTCATGCAAACGTTTACTTACACAGAAGCTCGGTTTTTCGTCCCACCCGAGCAACTAGACACCGGCCGTCCGCCCTACAAGATTGGCAAGGAACTACCTCAGCCAAAATCGAGCTGTAACACGCGACCTCCTGGTTATATTTTCCAGTGAACTAAAGCCATATTTTATATAGTATCAACTGTTCACTACTACACATTCTGCACACACAGAACTCGCTACTTTGAGAATAGATCTCTTTCCTGAATGACCGTCATATTAAAAATTGGTATTTATTTTGTAGTGTATTTCTAATCCGTTTTAAGTCTTTATTCTACGGTTAAAATTGTCGCTTTAGGAACTCAAATGTGTATTGGTTATACATTTTCTCAAGCGGTGCTAATTTTAGACTACGTAACTTTCGTATGACTTCTGCTATGAGTTTCCTCCAAATATGTCATCTACGCGTATCTGTTTGTTTTACAGAGCTGCTGCTACGACTATCATGGCGTCTTGTGGAGGTGGTATAACTGCATTTTTTATAAGGTAAATAATTAAGTAAAGACTAATCATGGAAGAAACAATACTTTCACATATGATATATAACAATTTAATATATAACATTCACGTTATACATAAATTCTATTTATCTCAAAGTTCTTATCATGTATGCAACAAGTACCAGATGGTTCGGTCATTTTGTCTTTCTCCTTGAATATTACTGTTGATTGTATAAGATTAACTCTTTCCGGATCAACCGAAGGCCAGAATCTGTACATGTTATTATCTCATAATATTAGTGAAGACATGTCAAATTGAGCTTTTAAAAATTAGATGCTACGTGAAAATAAGTGTTCCTCGTCACAGAGCAAGCTGGTAAAACATTATCAAACTAATACTTTGGTTTACATTTCAGTTTCGTTTTCTACAAACGTATAACAAAAGTACGACTTATTACTAATGGTATTCTGGGTTCATTGGTTTCTATTACTGGTATAGTTATATTATTATACGTCTACTCAAATAAATATCTAACACAACCAAGTTTTATGGCCAACAATCACTATATTATCACTGTGATATAGTGATTGGTATCCATAGAAATGTGTTGTGTTATATTATTTTCAATCGCTAAATGAAATTCCAAGATTACAATAGCTGTGTGTTTTAGTCAGATGAGGAGTTGGTCATGCTCTCAATGGTCTCCAATTGGATCCGACATATCGGAGTTTAACAGACGGCTGTGAAATGTCGGTAATATCAGAGCTGACCATAATCGCACAATCTATTGAACAAATTATCAAAAAAGTTTACACCTGGGAATTTCAAAAATTGAAATCCGTAGTCAATTTAATCCATTAATATGTTCTATTTGTGTGTAATGCGTCTCAGTCGACTCACATCATTCTGGAGTTATGGCCCTTAAACTTCGCAAAAACGGTGCATTTCCATTTGTTCACACTTTTGAACTTTGTGCTTTAAGATAGAGAAATGGGGCTCGTGTGTGATGAGGTAAATACAAATCAAGGTCCAAAGGATTAGAGGTCGAACAAAATTATCGACCTTTTAAATATTTGATTTGAGATCAGCAGTTGGAATTAGAGTTTTACTGTTACATTAAGTAAAAATAGTTCCTTGTCCAGAATGAGTCTTCTTGTCAGAGGTAAACATCTGGCCGTCTTCATACATTGGGTTTGGTGCAGAATACTTAAACCCCATTTCCGATGCTGACATGTATCCTGTAGCCTTTAGTATACACCAAGCAGGGTAAGTATCTATAATGCTTTGATAACCTAGAATTTAAACCATATTCCATAAAAATAGGCTTTATCTACGCGTATTTTAGCCATAATAGGGTTTATACTGTTGAAATCGTTGTTTTCAGGTATTTGTGCTGTAACACAGTGTTGGGCGGCCATTATTATAGGAAGTGTGGGAGCGATCATTGAAGCTGCTGGTGAAGTTCTATTACTAAAGTTCAAGATAGATGATCCAGTAGGGGCCACGGCTGTTCATTTCTTCTGTTCTGTCTGGGGTTTGTTGTGTTGTGGACTTTTTGCTAACGTCGATACGGTACAAAACAAGGCATTTTCTGCTCATTCTGGAATTATCATGGTATGTATGAAATATTCAAAGTTTGTAAAAATTATTGAAAAGAAACATGGCCATATCCGGTTTAGAGTCATTGGTTCGGCACCTAATAAACCGTACCAATGTACTCAATGTTCATTTGTCTCGGATCTGTAGGATCTATATTTATTCTGATGCTCACTGGTCCGACAGTTATTATTAATATTCTCCTAGGTGAGAAGGTTATTTGGTCTGGGCAAATGCATCAGTGCGTGCCTCTAAGATGTTGCCACCTAAGTTATGGATTTTTAGAGAGTTAAGTTCAGTTTTACCTAGCGTGCATTAAAACGCCAAAGTGAGTAAAAACCCAGCTTTTATCGGGAATAAATATGGCATCTTCATTTACAGGGAGTCTTTATTGTTATCTTCATGACAAACAGTGTTTTTGATATTAAAACCATTGATAATTTTTTTAGGGAGGTGACTTTTACCTGCTGGGAGTACAGTGCTTGGCTGTGGTTTCAATCATTGCATGGTCGGCCACAGTGTCTTTCATCAACCTAAAGATACTGGATTTAACTATCGGACTACGCGTGGATATCGAAGACGAACTGCTAGGTGCTGATGTATACGAGCACATGTGCTACCCACCCGGTTTCGATCTGGAGGACGCCAAGAAATCCATTCACAAGCGTGTCGCCAAAGATCGTATGTTTGGATTCATAAAAGATAAGCCTAAAGCAAATGAGGTTACCACTGATGGCAGTTCTTGTATGTGTTTCTTTGGGAAATCTCGGGTTCTCACAAACAATATCGTCCATCCCCAAGAGCAAGATCAAGATTCTAGGCAAGATGGTGATCACTACCAGAAGAAAAGTTCTAAGTTATCTGACAGCAGATTGCGTCTTGTCGCGAATGACAACATATGCATAAGCGATATTGAGACTGACAATGACAAAAAAAGTGTTAATTCTGACAAATCGTTGGGGGAGGCTAATTCGGCCGATTCTGAAGTCCGTGGAAGATCCAGGGCTTCGTCTGGAAAAGACAGCTTACAAGATACAGACAGAGACAAAACTTGTCAAATTATGTAAAATACACTTAAACTTTTTTAGCCTTCATTAACTGTCAATATTATAGACGGGGTGGCGGATATATTCACTTTTTCCCGAAGTCCGGATTTTACTTGGAAGATCCAAAATCTGATGATAATCCCTTTTTTTTCAATACGTTTTTCATTCGTTTTATATCCCGTATTTTATTTTTACCAGGTCCAATGTTCCATTACGTTTTATTATTGGGTTGTGTTTTAATTTTTGCACTGTAAGCAGTTCTTCCAATCACGTCAAGCTATCGTCCACTGATTTAACCTCGAGCATAACGGAAATTATAATTATTAATAGATGGAAGGTCACATGGCTGATATATTTGCTGTGATATGACAATCGTCAACGCTATTGCTTTCCTTTGTCGATTTGTAAATGATTAAGAAAGAGGGCGATATTCCATGATAAAACCAACATGACTGTAACATAAGCGGTTCGTCAATGAGCATCTAACTTGTGAACGTGATAAAGGCTACAGGTGTTTACATGTTTTCTTTCATATTTGGTCTGAAGCATTGAGGTCAGGCAAGGACGATCCCTATCGATATTCGGTGTTTTATGGCCTTGCGTTCCCGAGTTGCCGCCGATTATAACGGATTGTTTTCAAGTATTTGGTGGGGTCATGCGAGGTTGAACGCTATTCACCATTCCCTTCCAGACTTATCCCCACACTAGGCCGAAAAATCTAGTAAAGGCGATAGAGGCGACAGGGTTTAACGGATTTTTTTCTATCTTGCGAATACGATAGAGGTAAGATTTCTTGAGGGCATAAAAGATCCTTATCCAATTAGGTCAACATCCAAATTTTACTTTCGAAAAAGTAGCTGCCAATCGTCTTTTTGACACATGTATAGCTTTACTTGACTATCTTTATTTACGGTTGATATTCATTTGGGAAAAGTATATATCCTTTCAGTAATTATTGTCCAGTACTATCGTCAGCGGCAGTGCTGATTAGAGGGACATTGGGTAAAATTAGATAAAGAACTGACATTTATCGCTTTAATAGTTAAAAATACATAATGAAAACAGAATATGCTGAAAATTTAAGTCAAATTGCTTCACTCTGAACCGAGATATTACCGATTCAATTTTAGGCAAGCTTCGATCGTCATTACTAACGATGGTACGATAATAAACAAAGTCTCGATTATCCATTTTTACTTTAAATTATCCAGCACAAAATGTATTCAAATCCACTAAATATCACAGGCTAACGATGACATCGAGAGTTGATTATGGTCTGGATAAGTTAATTAATGTCTAATTAATAATATAGATAACATTTCAGGCCTAAAGAAATATCTGCAGTATGCAGGTTTAGCTCTTGCATAATGCATGTTTAAGCGACTACCTTATTTTATTAAATCACGGGGGGTTGGATGGATGAATGGTTAGCGTGCGCGCGCTGTATCATAAAGTCTGTCATTGAGTCGACTGGCGTGGTTTCGAATCCCCGGTTGTACGTGACAAGGAGTAGGGTCGCCTGTCCAACCTCGTGGGTTTTCTCCGGGTCCTCCGGTTCCCTCCCACTGCTAAAGACCCCTATGCGCAGGCGAATTATTGAAATAAAATTGAACCATATGTTAGTCCCGAAATGACCTAGGTGTGTCGAGTGGACGTTAAACCCCATTTCTCTCTCTCTCTCTTATTAAATCACCACCACGATACACCCATCCATAGTTTTACTTTTACTATTTGTGTGTGCAATTTTGTAATATCTTGATAATTTTTCAATAAACGAATTAAAAATGTTTTGTTTTATCTAATAAGCTGGCATCATCACCATTCATTCTGATCTATATATACCTACATGTTTGTACACAGAGGATTGCTTTTCTGCCGACAGCTCAATTTCTGACTCGCGAATTGTAGAATACAATCTGTCGGACTTGTTGATTTGGTGTAGACCAATGATCACTCTTTTCTGTGCGCCAAACTATATATCTCTTTGGTGATTGGTCTGTATGTATATACTTAAACAGCATTGGTAACCGAAATATTCGTAATTTTGGAAACGAACAAGAACTCTGAGATATGTCTAGCAGTACCTTCACAAAGTATAATGTAAAAATTATAGCAATTTTGAAAACAAAAAACCAAAAGCTTGCATTTCTGTATATTGCGTGGAATAGGAGAGAGAGAGAAATGGGGTTCAACGTCCACTCGACACAAACTAGGTCATTTCGGGACCAACATGGTTTAATTTTATTTCAATAATTCGCTTGCGCGTAGGGGTCTTTAGCAGTCGGAGGAAACCGGATGCGCGGAATAGGTCCAATTTAGAATTTTGTGACATGGATTTTGGACTACGACCCTAAACCTGTATCAAAGGAACACAAGAAGAAACCTTTAAAAAGGTAGTAACTGTAACAAAATAAAAGAACGACTGCATTATGCCTTTCTAAAAACGTTATACATTTATTCACCAACCTTGGATTTGTTGTCGTCTTGATTTATCTATTCTTTATTCTTTGTTACACAAAATTACCTGAATTATATATACGAGATCGCCCTATTTATCCAAATGACGTAATTTAAGAAAATACTATTATAACTTAAAAGTGAAAAAACAACAATCGAGACAGGCTAATTTCCGAGGATTAGCTTATTTAATGACTTATGTATGAGAATGGTAAATGTTGTAAGAAAATAATTTGGGGTATTTTTTCTTACAAGGCTTAAAAATTAAAACTGGTATAACATCAAAGAAAGGGGTTAATCTCTGGGGATTAACCTGGTAGTTTTCTAGATAAGTTAAGACGATAAAATAGTATAAAGTAACATGTCATTAATCCACTATACTATTTGTGGGTTAAACGGTCGAGGAATGTCGCCGTTTACTCGTATTTTGACGACCGATCAAGGTGGCGTGTCGCAATATTGTTATTAATTTATGAAAGCTATATCTACGCACAACTACCTGATAATATTACAGGTTTAGGCTTTATTTACCGTGAGAACTATATAAAAATATTAGGCATTACCTATTCACTAGACGAAAAAACTTCGGAAAAAATGAATTTTGAAAATTGTATAGACCAAATTGAAGATACTTTGAATACCTGGAAAAGACGAAACTTAAGTTTAATAGGGAAAATCCATATAATAAAAACATTCTGCGTATCTAAAATATTATACCCTGCATCAGTTAAAACTATACCTGAAAATGTAATTAAAGGCATTAATAAATTATTTTATAACTACATATGGAACGGGCCTGATAAACTAAAGAGAACAGTTATAAATCAAGATATAAATAAAGGGGGGCTAAATATGATTGACTTAAAAGAAATGATGATATGCCGTAGCGTAATCTGGATAAAAAAGATACTATCACACGATGTTCAATCATGGAAAATTCCGTACGCTTATATATTAAACGAGTATGACGGACAAATATTACCGGCATGTAATTATGCAACATCTTTTTTAAAATTATCTCCCTTCTATCAAGAACTTTTCAATAATTGGTTCCATATCTATACCTCAAAAATCGGTATGTTAATAAGCCCTCAAAATCAAATCATCTGGAACAATAAGCATATAAAGACTAACAAAAAACCTTTAATAGATAATGAATTGATGAAGGATAATATTTTATTTTTGGTTGACTGTAAAAGAAGACTTTTTAATCAATAGGATAATGAATAGTAATAAAATATTAAGAATGAAAAGCGTTTGCTTAGCAGTTAAAGAAGTTTTTGGATACAATCGACTACGAACCTACGCCTATAGTAAGAAAACAAAGCGTGTTTGACATTATTAATAACAACTGTATAAATATATATAAAAAATCACTAGATAAGATTAAAGCAAAAGACATTTATTCAATACGAGTAGATTCTAAATATAGTAAACCATTAGCAATAATGGGAAGAAGAGAATAGTTTTATATTTGAAGAACGTGAAACCTCATGTATATTCAATTTGGTCTATAAAACGAGCACTGATACTAGATTACAAAATTTTCAATTTAAATACCTCCATAAAATTATATATACAAACGACCGTTTATTTAAAATCCAATTAAAGGAGTCTTCATTATATACTGCAATTACGCCCAGGTAATATGGAATGATTTACATGAAATCTTCTCAACTAATGACATTTCATTACAATTACAACTTACGAACATTCATTTCGGTTTTCTTAAAGAAACAGTTTTTAAATCATATCGTGAATTCTTATTTGTAAATCATTTAATATTTTTAACAAAATACTACCTCTACAAATCGAAAATAGAAAATATCAGACCGACAATTATTAATTATCGAAACTACCTAAAAGGTAAACAACAGATAGAAAATGAATTAAACGAAACCTTAGTAAATAAATGGGATTATACCATATGAATATTATGCATACCTCTAGTGTTGCATTTCTAGTATTCCAACTCCTTAATACCTGTAGCTATTTTTTTTTTTTTTTTTTTTGTTTAGTTTTTATTAGCTTTTATTTTCTTTGTGAATATATTTGTTCTACTCAATGTAATATAGTATAGCCTTCAACATTAAACCGACGCTATCTGTATGATGTTACACACTGTGATTGTAATATGTGAACTATGTACTATGCTGTTATTGATTATTTGAAATATAGAAAAAAAAAAAAAAAAATTTTTTTTTATCTAAGCTGTGATTCCCCCTTGTCAGTGATGCAGGACTGAGGGCCTGACAAGGACAGCTGTACCGAGGTCCCGTGTAGACATTGGCGTGCACGGAAAAGATCCCTTGACAGGTAGAGTAGGCCATAGTGCCGCTGTCCGGGCAAAATTTCCCTCATAGCACACTGTATGGCGTATGCCCGTCTTCATTAGCCCATTTCGGAGCAGAACAGTAGGACGTTAAACCCCATTTCATTTCATTTATATATCTAAGCTCGTGGGTTTTATGAGTGTTCGAGATAATCCTAGAAACTCATGTTTACAATTACAGACATTTAAAGGTATGCGGATAAACTAATAGTACCTGATGCTATTAAGTCGGCAAGGGGTGGGGGTAGGGGTGTTTGTGGGGTTAATGGTTAGCGCGGTTTCCCCCCACTGCTAAAGGCCCCTCCGCGGAAGAGAACTATTGAAATAAAATAGAACCATGTGTTAGTCTCGAAATGACCTAGTTTAACCCTCTCTCTCTCTCTCTCTCTCTCTGTCTTAAGTCAGATAGACCTAAAAGTAGTGTCAATGTACAATTACACGTATTTATATAAATTACTTCTATTAATGTAATAAATTACAATATAAGAAATAAAATAAAACAATGGTAAATAAAATAAAAAATAGATTTAGGACACGATTGACATGTTCACCAGACAGACAATATTAACATTGCTTCCTAAATATAAACGTTTAAAGATGCATTATGTAATAGATAAATCTGCCCATTGCAGATATTTATTTTGGGTTCAAATGCTAAATAAATTATTATTTGGGCCAAAATATCCGCATTTACCGTAAACCGACCGACCTTAGTTAGGCTACATCTTTAAACACTCATAACATCGGTCAGAACTAAGTAATGTGAATAATAATCCCTGGGCCGTACAATGACGCCACTTTCAGTGGAGAACACACAAAACAAATTAAATGGTTTAAAAAAAAACTATTGTACGAGATGTTTAAATCAACCGAGAATTCAATGGAAAGACTACTTTTTAAATTTATGAAAATAATCTAGATATACATAGTTCTCCAGATTCCTCTAACTGCACGGAAATCACTGTTTATATTTTATTAGAATATACAAAAAAGATGGACACCCCTCTTTAAACATGCATAAAAGACTCAAATTTTACAGCTTAAAAAATGTCATTGTGTCGAAAATTACATTAATTGTCTAACTAGAAAAAAAAACAGACAAAAAATATATTTGACTGAGCCTCACAATATCGTGGACCGGATTGGTTCCACACCTTTAATTTGCGTCTGGCGCCATATTGTGTACCTCTAATAGAAAGCTGTTTGATACGAATATTTTTATTAGTTTGATGGAATCCGGACGTCACGACTTCGGTATCGATAGATGATATTTTGGTTATAATTTGAGTTTGATGGTGTTGGGGGTAGCACATATTTAAGCAATTGTCAACGCACTATGTTGTATGTCGTAATTCCCTCGTAATGCTATTTTGAAGCTTTAACAACATATTCCATTTCGCCATATGTTGCTAAAGAATAGCAATATCCTAACACACGCGTGCGTATTTAAAACGAAATGATGACATACAACACACTGCGTTTATTCAATTACCTCAACAAAAATAATCTTTTCGGTGGTAAACTAATTGCAACGATCACAGCATGTCGACATTACTAATATCGCGGAATCCATCGCGTTATTGACCCTTATATGTTTCCATAATATACACATTTAATAAGGACGTGTACACAGGGCAAACTGCCTGTGGGCGAGACTATTTATGATATGACGACAATGTAACATTTGATATGAACTGTTTTATATCTTCCGCTTCGATTCACGATTACATTATCACGACAAACAAACAGGATGTTTCCTTAAAGGGATTATCCCGATTTTAACAGAGTCCCCAAAAAAATGTCCAAATACGTATGAAATTTAAGTGCCACAATATAGGGGAATGGTGTATTTACCTTGCCTCAAAATTTCAGCGCAAAATATTGAGTCGTTTGGACGTGAACGTCAAAAATGCTTATCTGGACACGTAACCCTTTTAAGATTTCGGGTCAATTTTTTCGTTGGGCGAACTGATAATCGATCGCCGTTCCTTTAGAGGTCTATACAGTAAGTGGCTTATGTGCTGTACTTGATAACGAAAGGTACTTGATAACGAAAGGTAAATTTCACTTACACATTGTTTTTATGAAATAAAAGTCTAGTTTTATCCAGACACCGCATAATACAGCTTGCGACTCCAGTCTCCTTTTCCAGATGAAGACTGACGGGTTTAAATTGTTTGAAAGCGTATCACATATATTGAGTTAGTTGCTCAGCCCTGAGATAGAGAATTTTAAGGGATTTTAACACAAAATTAAGCAGTTTTATTCTCCAAAATATTATCGGGATTGACTCTTTAAAGTCAAAAAAAGCTCATCGCGTTTTGGCGCAATAGGAATCCCTTGCAAACAACAATATTATGAAATACTA